TTAATACATTTAAAAAGTAACGCGCACACACACCGTGATGTGTAGAAGACAATCACTCGAGTGTGATTATTCACGGCAATCATCGCCCCCTACTGGCAGATTATTGCCCCCGGGTCACACAGTAAATGCGACTCATCCCGGTTTCCTGAGTTCTCACGTGGTTAAACTTAACTAAAGACAACACACGTAACATAATATACAGTATATACAATAAGGACAAAGATATTGCAGTAGAAGAAGTGCACAACATACACACACACACGTACATTCACAGCTGCACTCATGGGATGATGAGTTAAAACACAATGACACACAGAGTGACACGTCACTCAAAATAACACACACGAATTCGCTGGCAAATGCACCTCCAACGACACGAAGATGCAGTTAGAATTACACACTGGGTGATAAATACACTCATGACACACATGGTGACGAATATACATTGATAATCACACACACACACGCAGGGTGAGATGAACAGGAATAACGACACACACACACGGGAAACAGTTGAACAAGCCGGAACACGGCTTGGTAGTAAACCATACAACTAAGACAAATATCTTTGTTGTATGAGTTACTGCAACAGCCACATACACCTACACACGCGTTGACATACACCTACACACGCATTCAATAGTATTGACACTAAGTACGACACAAACAAATATGCCATGCTTGGAATGACACACACACGCCGTGACATGTACACTTACAATGACTCTCTCACACACGCCGTGACATGTACACTTACAATGACTCTCTCTAACACACACAGTGACATGTACACTTACAATGACTCTCTCACACACACGCCGTGACATGTACACTTACAATGACTCTCTCACACACGCCGTGACATGTACACTTACAATGACTCTCTCACACACACAGTGACATGTACACTTACAATGACTCTCTCACACACGCCGTGACATGTACACTTACAATGACTCTCTCACACACAGTGACATGTACACTTACAATGACTCTCTCACACATAGTGACATGTACACTAACAATGACTCTCTCACACTTAGTGACATGTACACTTACAATGACTCTCTCACACACGCCGTGACATGTACACTTACAATGACTCTCTCACACATAGTGACATGTACACTTACAATGACTCTCACACACATAGTGACATGTACACTAACAATGACTCTCTCACACAGTGACATGTACACTTACAATGACTCTCTCACACATAGTGACATGTACACTTACAATGACTCTCTCACACACACAGTGACATGTACACTTACAATGACTCTCTCACACACACAGTGACATGTACACTTACAATGATTATCTCACACATAGTGACATGTACACTTACAATGACTCTCTCACACATAGTGACATGTACACTTACAATGACTCTCTCACACACACAGTGACATGTACACTTACAATGACTCTCACACACATAGGGACATGTACACTTACAATGACTCTCACACACATAGTGACATGTACACTTACAATGACTCTCTCACACATAGTGACATGTACACTTACAATGACTCTCTCACATAGTGACATGTACACTTACAATGACTCTCTCACACACACACACAGTGACATGTACACTTACAATGACTCTCACACACATAGTGACATGTACACTTACAATTACTCTCTCACACATAGTGACATGTACACTTACAATGACTCTCTCACACATAGTGACATGTACACTTACAATGACTCTCTCTCACACAGTGACATGTACACTTACAATGACTCTCTCACACACACATAGTGACATGTACACTTACAATGACTCTCACACACATAGTGACATGTACACTTAAAATGACTCTCTCTCTCACACAGTGACATGTACACTTACAATGACTCTCTCACACACAGTGACATGTACACTTACAATGACTCTCTCACACAGTGACATGTACACTTACAATGACTCTCTCTCACATAGTGACATGTGCACTTACAATGACTCTCTCTCACATAGTGACATGTACACTTACAATGACTCTCTCACACATAGTGACATGTACACTTACAATGACTCTCTCACACATAGTGACATGTACACTTACAATGACTCTCTCACACATAGTGACATGTACACTTACAATGACTCTCTCTCACATAGTGACATGTGCACTTACAATGACTCTCTCACACACATAGTGACATGTACACTTACAATGACTCTCACACACATAGGGACATGTACACTTACAATGACTCACACACATAGGGACATGTACACTTACAATGACTCTCTCACACATAGTGACATGTACACTTACAATTACTCTCTCACACATAGTCACATGTACACTTACAATGACTATCTCACACATAGTGACATGTACACTTACAATGACTCTCTCACACACACAGTGACATGTACACTTACAATGACTCTCTCACACATAGTGACATGTACACTTACAATGACTCTCTCACACATAGTGACATGTACACTTACAATGACTCTCTCACACATAGTGACATGTACACTTACAATGACTCTCTCACACATAGTGACATGTACACTTACAATGACTCTCTCACACACAGTGACATGTACACTTACAATGACTCTCACATAGTGACATGTGCACTTACAATGACTCTCTCACACACATAGTGACATGTACACTAACAATGACACACACAGTGACATGTACACTTACAATGACTCTCTCACACACACAGTGACATGTACACTTACAATGACTCTCTCACACATAGTGACATGTACACTTACAATGACTCTCTCACACACACAGTGACATGTACACTTACAATGACTCTCTCACACATAGTGACATGTACACTTACAATGACTCTCTCACACACATAGTGACATGTACACTTACAATGACTCTCTCACACATAGTGACATGTACACTTACAATGACTCTCACACACAGTGACATGTACACTTACAATGACTCTCTCACACGCACAGTGACATGTACACTTACAATGACTCTCTCACACACAGTGACATGTACACTTACAATGACTCTCTCACACACACATAGTGACATGTACACTTACAATGACTCTCTCACACATAGTGACATGTACACTTACAATGACTCTCTCACACACATAGTGACATGTACACTTACAATGACTCTCTCACACACAGTGACATGTACACTTACAATGACTCTCACACACATAGTGACATATACACTTACAATGACTCTCTCACACATAGTGAAATGTACACTTACAATGACTCTCACACACAGTGACATGTACACTTACAATGACTCTCTCACACGCACAGTGACATGTACACTTACAATGACTCTCTCACACACAGTGACATGTACACTTACAATGACTCTCTCACACACACATAGTGACATGTACACTTACAATGACTCTCTCACACACACAGTGACATGTACACTTACAATGACTCTCTCACACAGTGACATGCACACTTACAATGACTCTCGCTAACACACACACACATAGTGACGTGTACACTTACAATGACTCTCTCACACACACAGTGACATGTACACTTACAATGACTCTCTCACACAGTGACATGTACACTTACAATGGCTCTCTCACATAGTGACATGCACACTTACAATGACTCTCGCTAACACACACACATAGTGACATGTACACTTACAATGACTCTCACACACATAGTGACATGTACACTTACAATGACTCTCTCACACTTAGTGACATGTACACTTACAATGACTCTCTCACACACACAGTGACATGTACACTTACAATGGCTCTCTCACAGTGACATGCACACTTACAATGACTCTCGCTAACACACACACAGTGACATGTACACTTACAATGACTCTCTCACACTTAGTGACATGTACACTTACAATGACTCTCTCACACACACAGTGACATGTACACTTACAATGACTCTCTCACACTTAGTGACATGTACACTTACAATGACTCTCTCACACACACAGTGACATGTACACTTACAATGACTCTCTCACACTTAGTGACATGTACACTTACAATGACTCTCTCACACACACAGTGACATGTACACTTACAATGACTCTCACACACATAGTGACATGTACACTTACAATGACTCTCTCACACACATAGTGACATGTACACTTACAATGACTCTCGCTAACACACACACAGTGACATGCACACTTATACAATGACTCTCTCACACATAGTGACATGTACACTTACAATGACTCTCACACACACAGTGACATGTACACTTACAATGACTCTCACACACATAGTGACATGTACACTTACAATGACTCTCTCACACACATAGTGACATGTACACTTACAATGACTCTCTCACACACATAGTGACATGTACACTTACAATTACTCTCGCTAACACACACACAGTG